TTCCAGTAAGATTTCTGAATCAGAGAGAAATTAGAACCAACTTAAGGTGGATGGGGTTTTTGAGTGCTAATATGGTGGATGGGGTTTTATACATACATACATACATACATACATACATACATATATATGTATATATATGAGAATATGATTTCTCTATTTCCACTATCTTCAATGAGCAGCATTACTTGCAAATTCTTGTAAAATATCCACATTCCAGTTACAGTCATAGTCCCGGAAGCACAGCCATGGATTTGGCACATATAGTGGACCGACATAGAGCATGGGAGGTTCAGCTGCAAAAAGCCTAATTTTCATCTGTTTCTCTTTTTTCATCTTATTTATAAAAAAAAATGTTTCAAGAAGTTCATGTGTTTCAGAATCTAATGCCATCAAGTAAATATTTCATTCAAGTATCCTTGGTCTAAGTCTCGGAAGCACAGTCATGGATTTGGCCCATATAGTGGACGACATAAAGAATGAGAGGTTTAGCTCTAAAAAACCCAATTTTCATATGTTTCTCTTATTCGTCCTAACTATCCAAAAAATGCTTCAAAAAGTTCATGTGTTTCAGAATCCGATGCCACCAAGTAAATATTTCATTCAAGTATCCTTGGTCTTTCCGATTATAGTGTTCAATTTTCTCTGATTTTGTCAAAACACAGAGAAATTTGTGAGTAAATCAAAGAAAAATTAGTCAAAACATAAAAAAATCTGTAAGCAACCCAAAGAAATTTCAAAATACATATAAAATCAGAGATATTGAGCAAACCAGAGAAATTTCAAAACACAGAGAACTTTTAGGAGTTACCAATTAGAATTTGACAGGATTTGGCATTCTTTTTTTTCTCATTATTTTGCTGTTGAAATTCAAGTAGAGCGAATTTTCTCTAGACTGTGTGAATTTTCTCTGGGTGTGGGAACTGTGTGAGTTTTGTGAATTTTCTCGAGCTCTATGAATTTTCTTTGATTGCGATCACTGTGCAAATTTTATCTGGTTGTAGTCACTGTTTGTAATTTTGTGAATTTTCTATAGCTATGATCACTGTATGAATTTTCTCTGGCTATGGTCACTGTGTGAATTTTCTCAAACACTGTGGGATTGTGATGTGTCTAGAGAAATTTCAATGAAAATGCCTAGAGAAATTCTAAACATGAGCACACAAACACGCTCAGAGAAATTCTAAGGCCCCGTTTGTTTGGGTTTATAGGGAGGCGATTGGGTTTGATAGTGAGGTGGGACTACTATATGGGGTGTTTGTTTTGAGAGATGGGGAGCGGACTCCTAATCCCTTGGTATTAGTAAAGGCCTTGGAAGAGGGATTGGGAAGGAGGAGGTAGAGATGGTATTAGAAAAATAATAAGGGGATTAGAAATTTTTTTATTTATTTTATTTTTTATATATTGAGAATTTTTTTTAAAATATTAATGTTTAATTTTTTATATATTTTTTATTTGTTTTATTATTTTATATAAAAATAATTTAACAATTCTTACCCTAACAACTATTATCAAAACAAACACAATTGTACTTAATCCCTTCACTATGAATCTCCTCCATTCTACCTCTGAAAACAAACGAGGCCTAAGGGGATTCTTATGTGTCCAAAGAAATTCCGAACATGAACACACAAATACACTCAGCGAAATTTCTCTCGTTTTGAAATTTCTTTGGAAAAACATTGAGGAACCCCACCCACTATGAAAATATTGCATGTTCTTTATCCTATAAAATCTTGATGTCAGGGACCTTAATTTTTTATTTATATTTTTTATATTATATATTTGTCAAATTTTATTTATTTTGTTTACCCGTTCAATGACTTTATGAAATAGTTAAAGTGAGCTTTTAAGTGAAAAACAAATTTGTCGAATTAATTTTTTTTTTGATAAAATATACTTTTTGCAGCCATGTTCGTGGAGATACATTTTTTTACATTCCCACGTCAATATAGTCACTCCAACCTAATGATAATTTTTAATTTGACATTCAAACTTTTTGTATTAAATTTCTCTAATTTTTATAAGGGAAAATTGGTCTAGGGTCCCTCTCACACTTTTCGTAATGGAAAAGATCCACAAAATTATTTTTTGATGTCTAAGATCCCTAAACATGTATCAGAGAAACTTGGTCGAAGTCAAAGAAGAGGTGGATCGATTGGTCGAAGAGGAGATGTGTCGCAGCTCCAAGAAACCCTCTGATTTCCTCAACGAGCTCCTTCCTCTTCCCAGCTTCAACTTCCAGGTTCTCTCTCCTAACTAAACATTGTGGATCGATTGGTCGAAGATGAGATGCGTCATCGGTCAAGTAATCTTCGGATCGATGGCCGCTGTTCTCGCCGTAACTCAGTCTCCATCGCCATCACCTCCGCCATGGTTGCCATCGCACTCTTAGGGACCGTCATCGGTCAGCTAATCTTCGGATACCTCGACCTCCCCTGCGACGGATATGGCATTTGCATGATCTGCAAGAAGAAGTCGGCGGAGGACGAGACCATCACCTGCAAGGTGATTTTCATGGTGGTCCTGTGAGCTTCTCTCTCCTAGAGAGTAGTTGTTGACTTCGATAGAGGTCTACATTGGTTTGTGGAAACTAGTGTTGCTGTTGCTGTTACACTATGTGGTGACTATAGCGTGGCCGTGGGTGCGTTGTGGTGAAGCTGGTTTCTCTGTGGTGAAGCTGATGAAAGATGTCTGTGAATGCTTCTTGGCATAAGGCACCAATTGTACTGATGATGGACAAGTAAGATCCACAAATTTAACATCATCTCTTGCTATATCTAAGAAATTAAATCCAGAGAAAATTGGTCCAGAGAAATTTCTCTCCAGAGAAATTCTAGAAATTTCTCTGGACTTCAGAATTTCTCTCCAGAGAAATTCTGGAAATTTCTCTGGACTTCGGAATTTCTCTCCAGAGAAATTCTGGAAATTTCTCTGGACTTCGGAATTTCTCTCCAGAGAAATTCTGGAAATTTCTCTGGACTTCGGAATTTCTCTCCAGAGAAATTCTGGAAATTTCTCTGGACTTCGGAATTTCTCTCCAGAGAAATTCTGGAAATTTCTCTGGACTTCGGAATTTCTCTCCAGAGAAATTCACCAATTGTACTGATGATGGACAAGTAAGATCCACAAATTTAACATCATCTCTTGCTATATCTAAGAAATTAAATCCAGATAAAATTGGTCCAGAGAAATTTCTCTCCAGATAAATTCTGGAAATTTCTCTGGACTTCAGAATTTCTCTCCAGAGAAATTTTGAATTTCTCTGACTTCGAAATGTGTTTTAACCAAATTCTCTGACTTCAGAATGAACTGATGTGGGTTTTATAGTTTTTTTTGCATAATGGACCTTACATAGCTGGTTTTGTTTCTTTGTGTAAGAAATTGAGAATGAGAAACTAATGGTAGAACATGTTCATATTTTAGAGGAGAACAGTGGTTTACATGTACAGAATAAAAAATTGTCTCAAGAAGCTTCTTATGCAAAGGAATTGGCCTCTGCTACTGCCGTTGAGTTGAAGAATTTGGCTGGTGAAGTCACAAAGCTCTCTCTACAGAATGCAAAACTAGAGAAAGAACTATTGGTTGCTTGAGAATTGGCAGCCAATAGTTCCCTTCCTTTCTCAAATCAGAGAAAATTCGAGAGATGGCAGATCTGAATCAATTTTCTAATTTTCCCTTCCTTTCTCAAATCAGAGAAATTTGTCAAAATTTCTCTGGGAAGTCCAGAGAAATTCAGAATTTCTCTGAACCAAATTTCTCTGTGATGTGAATTTTCTCTGGGACTGAAATTTCTCTGGATTGATATTGAGGGACCTTAGACATCATGAAAATAGTTGATGTCATTTATACTAGAAAATCATAATATCAGGGACCTTAAAAAAAATACCCCTTTTTATAATTAAATCATTGTAGGTCCATTATTGAGGAAAATATATTGTTGTATTTAACTTGCCCAAGCCATTTCATACAAAGTTAATTAAAATGAAAAATCATTCCTTAACACTTATTAAAAGTTTGTATAGAAAGAGCTAAAATGATGCCGAAGGCCTCGTTTGTTAACTATACATTTTAGTTAAAATTATTTTATTCTTACCTTGTTACGACGCCGAGCCTTAAAATGATGCCGATGGCCTCGTTTAAATTATTTTATTCTTACCTTGTTACGACGCCGAGCCTTTGGATACCAGGTTTGGGTTGTGACACACTCCAACCTAATGATAATTTTTAATTTGACATTCAAACTTTTTGTATTAAATTTCTCTAATTTTTATAATTAAATCATTGAAGGTCCATTATTGAGGAAAATATATTGTTGTATTTAACTTGCCCAAGCCATTTCATACAAAGTTAATTAAAATGAAAAATCATTCCTTAACACTTATTAAAAGTTTGTATAGAAAGAGCTAAAATGGTGCCTAAGGCCTTGTTTGTTAACTATACATTTTAGTTAAAATGATAAAAAATCACTATAAAATATCACATCACACTCTCTATTTTTCTGTATATTTTTTCGTAAAAAATAAAAAAATTACTAAAATAACCTGGTCCCAAACGAGTCGTAAATAAGCACAAAAAGATAAAACAGACTAATTTAATCAATAAGACAAAACGTTACATACAAATTATAATCGTTTTATTTTTTCCCTCACAATCAACACATCTAAGCCAAAAAAAAATCTCACACAGAACTAATTTAGTTAGGTTGAATTAGCTATTCACAAACAAAGGCTCAATGATTATTCTTTTATGATAGTAAATAATTATAATACATTTTATTTTATTTTAATCATTCTATTTTTTACGAAACAAAGAGTATAAACATTTTAATTAAATGATCATTCAAGTAAACCAAACTTAGCATTAAATTCTTAAGACTAGTCAGTGCAAATTTAAGTTAAAATTGATAGGCAACTCTACAAATTAAGCAGCCAATGCAATTATTGAACTGCCCAAGCAAAAATTCAATTGACAACATAATGAATTAATTTTTAAATTTGATTGAGTGAATATCAAATATTTATTTTTAACCAAGAATAAACTTAAGCCTGAATAGGTGGTGGCCAAACTCAAGTGAGCAATGTTCTCAAAGTATCAGAGTCCATAATTAAAAAGGTATAAAAAAAAATAGAAATCACTACCATTTATTTACCTAGATCACAGAGAAATTATCAAAAAATAGTAAGAAAACACATCGTGGACAAACAAAAACTGGTGAAGCTACCAGAAAAGCCCTCTGTCAAATGGAAAATTGTCTGAAAATTTCACTCTCAGCACACCTAAGACTGCCATTTCATTACTACTTGGGAACTCCAAGTCTCTGGCGGAAATCTTCCTCCATGAGGGGAAGCCCATCCCGCAACTTGATCTTCGGCTCCCATTCTAGCAATTCCTTTGCCTTTGTAATGTCGGGTTTCCTTTGCCTTGGATCGTCGGGAGTGTTCTCCACCATTTTTATCTCCACATGAGGATTAATAAGCTGCAGGCAAGTCAACAGTGTGAAACTTCAATGAAAAAAAGAGAAAATGTAAATCAATGCTATGTACATTGTTCTCATTTCACTGAAAATGAAAACGTAAAATTTCACAAAATCCAATGAACTAATATTTATTTTTCTCATTTCACTAATGTCACTTAATGAATCGACATGGAGATCAAAACTGTCAGATTTGTGGATAAAAAGGGATGGTGGCGGAGATGGAAACTTACCTCCTTCACCGTCTCAGCAAGTTCGATCATGGTAAACTCACCTAAATATGTCAAGAAATTAATGAGGTTAGAATGTATTACAACATCTTGATGTTTTAAAACGAGCAACACAGTATCTGTATCTCCAGAAAACAGTATGTAAAGAAAACCTGGGTTTCCAATGTTGATTGGTCCTGTGTTTTCACCTTCCATGAGTCGGATAAGTCCATTAACCTTCACAATTTCAAAAATAAATTGAGCAAATAGGTGGTCAGAAATGCCCAATTATAATCAATCTCATGGCTAGAAACTTATTAAATTAATATAGACCTCTTGCTTACCATATCAGAGACATAACAGAAACTGCGTGTCTGTGTTCCAGGAGCCTGAACTGTCAATGGTTCACCACTACAATAATGCAAATCAGAGGCAATATCATGAGTGAAGAACACGGATTTCTGACAATTCACCTAGTACAGGAATGGTAATAAATTACAGAGTGCCAACTGACCAGCTACTATCTAGCACTATACACGGGATGGGCCACAGACTTACATAATTATGGACCCCACACTGTGTAGGTCCCAACCACGTGAGTGTCTGTGATCCATTTTATGTTTGGTTTTTGTGTTCATCACATTTTTGCTATCCTTATTGTGCATCAGAGTCGGACTTGTACGAGCGCAATGCTTTACATAACATTTAGGCCTCTATAATTACACACCATGTCGCTATCTGATACAATGGTATTGGATGAGCATTTTGATAGTCATAACTCATGAGACTCTATAATGCACACAGAACAGAAGCGTAGTGATACAGTCTAATAGTTGTCTTCTTGGCAAATATATTAAAGAGGACTGTGATTTATGGATGCTTTCAAAACCCTGCAAATACATAAAGGACTCACCGAATTGCTTGAGCTATGAAGTTGCTAACTACTCGTCCATCGTCAATATTCATGCGGGGCCCATATGTGTTGAAAATTCTAGCAATGCGTATTTCTGGTAAAAATAGAAATGCGAGATGCATCACACAAAAAAATAATAAAAAAAATTGTAATTACAATTGTAAGGAGGAAACAGGCTCACCTATTCCATGTTGTCTATGATAATCAAACATCAAAGTCTCAGCAACACGCTTCCCCTCATCATAGCAACTCCGAACTCCTACGATACAATTAACAGATCTTCAAGTAATTATTCAAGAAGTAATTATATTATGGGTTGTTGAATTTGATGTTATGCAAAAACTGCAAATGCTAAGATTGTTACAGACCATGTGACAAGGATACAACAACATATATTGGTAACTAGCATTAATTCAGATCACTTTACACAGTGATGTCCAAAAAAATTTATTTATCAGATAATGGATGCATGAACAAATTGAAGAAATGGAAGACTGAGGAATGCAGCTCTTGTATAGATTACAGCTATTGCAACAAGTTTCTGTTCATTTCTTTGTTCAGGCATCAGAAATGCATATACGTGAATGCAAACAATTATTTCCACATCATACTAAGTTAAGAAAAGGGAAAAATGGAAATCACTTGTAGCAAATTACAATTTGAGCAATATGTTCCATTTAAGCATTTGAAAACAATCACGGAAAATAAAAACAAAAATCATTCTTTTTTTAGTATTGGTCACTCCAGAGATACTAGCTTGCCCTTTTCACATGCAAACCAAAGATAAAATTAAAATTTTTAAACTTAAAACAAAGCCTCTTTACATTTTTTAATACATGCATGTATATAGATATATGTATTTCTTCCACTGGGCGGGTGTGACATGAACTTACCAATTGGGTTAACATTGCCCCAATAGGTCTCAGGTTGGGGATGCACCAGAGGATCTCCATATACCTCTGAGGTTGAGGTAAGCAAAATCCTGTCCAACGTTACATAAATAAGTAAAATGAGAACATAAATAAGACCTACTGAAAATTGTACACGCACAGATTAGTTTCCTAACCTTGCTCCAACTCGCTTGGCAAGTCCCAACATGTTCAGTGTGCCAATCACATTTGTCTTTATTGTCTGTTGGAGTACGTATGCTGGCATATTAGATTGGCTCTAAACATCCAATTTACATTTATAGGCATAAACACATAATTACTTCAATATTAAGTATAAAACATGAAACACAATAAGATATTTTCAAGTTGCCATGAAAATATTGTCAGTATAAATGTCCTTGAGCTAAATATTGCAATTCTATATGATCATATTAATATTAATGTCAATTGGCCATAGAACAATGCCATCCAGAATTTGTGGTTTCCAAAGAAAAAGTACAACTGTTGCTGTGATGAAATATGAGATTAATCATTATGAAAAATCAAGATAATCTTTGTATCAGCAAAGTAGATTTGTAAATTTGTTATTGGTGTATTTTTCCAACAAGTAGTATAAACCATGAGACTGACCATCATGATATCCAGGGACAATCACTAGATTCCCAAAAAGCAGATAATCACATCGTATTGGTAGTTGAAATGCAAATATAAGAATAGTTGAAATAGGCCAATGTTTTCCATTTTAATTTAACTCTGGCAGCTTTGATGGCTTTTGGTTCTAAAAATTCTTGTGTATCCTAAGATGCACAAGATGGGATCATAGGATAGTGATAAAGGATAAATATTGATATTGCAGTTAAATATTGTGTTGACCACATAGATGATGCAATCGGACAGAAAGTTACATCATTTGTGGCTATAAATTATTAAACTGTTTTCACAATTCAGAAGAGAATATATGAAAAGTAAATGATAGAACAAAAAAATAGTAATAATGATGTAAAATGATCACGAAAAATGGAATGTCGATAAACACACCTTCACAGGATTGTATTTGTAAAAAATTGGTGAAGCTGGGCATGCAAGATGGTATATCTGATCAACCTCAACCAACAATGGCTCTGTCACATCTATGAAAAAACAAAACGGATCACATCATTAATTCTAATCATCAAGGAACATCATCAAAGAAAGCAAACTTATAAGAAGAAGGAGGTCAGCTCCTGAATGTAAAATTTCTATGGATGTTCAACAATCTTGCAGACATGGGTTCTAGTCCATCTACTTCAGTGGATACTTCTACATACATACATACATCTATTCTACAACATTAAGCTAACGCTAAAGTTTGTCTGACAAACAGTTTTGGGTCATCAAGAAAATAAAAACATGCCTCCACTTGGAACAAAAAACACTTCAATTGACCATGCTTGATTTATATGAGGGTAGAAGACTCGGCTAAAAATGGCCATGTTTTTATATTTTTAATCTATTATGTGATATAAAATGGTGTTATATGTAGCACACAATGTCAAAGGGGAATTTTTACTTATTTTATAGCAACTATACAACAATATATACTTAAAATGATAGTATATTGAAAATTAGCCTAGAAATTTGAATTCTTAATACACAAGCTTATGAAGTTTGAGGTCAAATAATGGCACGAATGTGCCCAAAAATGAATACGATCACCTAGGGTGTGACCATTGTGACTTGTTACATCACACAAATCTTGAACACTGCACATATATAAGAAGTGTCAAATGAAAAGTATTATACACATGTCACACCCTTGTCCAAGTGCCAAGTGTTTGACACGGGTATTTGATTTATTTTGAAGAGTCTGTGTAACAAATTTGAGTACATGCACGAGGTTCAACACAGGTGGGCATAAGGAAAAAATCATGTGCAATCCTGATTACAATGATGACCTTTGGTAGAATACATCCTAAAGCAAGTAGGAAACAACAAAATTATAGTAACATTTTGTAGATAATGCTCAATGGAGGCGAATCTCGCTGACTGTTTACTATGGACATCAGTTAGGAGAGAAAATATGAGAATTACCATGACGAATAAGCTCAAATCTTGGATGACCAATCCATTTCCTAAGATTGTCCTTTGAACCAGTGAAGTAATTATCAGCGACAATTACCTTAGTGACAAAAAAAATGCATCTTGTTAGAGAACCTATTCATTTTATTTCGATAAAGATAGACATTTTCGGATTAATGCTCGTTTTTTTTCCCATGTGGCCTTACCAATTTTCTTTTGGTTAACAAACCCAACTAGCACTACAAAAGATGAAAGAATAAATACTCACCTCATTCTTTTCATTTTCCATCAATTTGTCCACTAAATGAGAACCAATGAATCCAGCTCCACCAGTAACCAAGATTCTCATATTAGACTGCCATCAATAATAATGAATGATATGGAGGAGCATTTGGACTATCAAGAATATAAAAATGACTACCATGAGAATGCTACTCACATGGAGGTGATAATCGTACAATATAAGGGAATTTATTCCACAATGTGTAAGAATGCAATAATAAACAACTCTTCATTCCAGCACAGAGCCAAAGTATTCCACAAAGATCATGAACATTTGCCAATTGGTCCATAGATTAGGAATAAAAAAATAGGGGAATAATACGGGCAATCTCTCTTTTTTCTTTCAGATTTAATCAGACAAGAGCCCCCAGTTCTAGTATCGCACTCTACAACATTCATCACTTCCTCGAACTAATAACAAGGCGAGGCGACTGACAAATATATTCATTCAATTTGACTAATTTTGGTTAATGTCCATCAAGCAATCCCTTTAGTTACACGTCTCAAGCTGATCTATATTAAACTGGATCAAGTTTACGAATTGTTACATGTCACGAAACTCTACAATTCCAAAATGTTGTAACAGATGACTCCTACCCACAACGATCGTAATTAGTGGATAGAAAAATAAGAAGACGACAAATTGAATTACAAATATTCAAATGTATGAACAAAAGTATGAAGACACAATTTTCAATTAAATATATAACCATAAACAATGTTTTGTCGCAATTAGCAAACAGATCTTGAAAAGAGCATCAATATATAAAAAAGCTTAATTTGAATGGATAACATACATTCTATAGAATATAGAAATTGACTATACCTGAAAAAATTTAGAAAACCGCAATGGGGAAGGAGGCGGAGGTGGCTTTTTGGGTGTCTGATGATCCCCATTTGAAGAATTATTTGCCATAGCTCTGATTCAACCAAAACTCGGTACCTGCCAAAATTTACACAATTCACATTGTTTATATTTTCAAAGAATATGGGTCAATCCACTTTGAAACAAATCAAACTGTTCTTATCAAACAATTCAACTTCAAATACAATAAAAATTCAAATAAAGACACAAACTTTAGGAGAAAAATCTTCGTATTTTATATCGATTTTGAAGATAAAACTCAAAATTGAAAGACCCAGATAAGGAAAACGAAAGAAGAAAACATGAGACAGACCCTAATCGTAAATCCTCAGAGCAAAACAAACCCAAAACCCTAATCCTTTGCAAAACACAACACTCACTCACCTATATATATATAGAGAGAGAGAGAGAGACTTGAAAATCACGAAACGTAAAAGTTATTGAAAGGTGTTGGAAAGCGATAACCGAAACAGAGAGTCGACACCAACCTGTGTTATAAAGTACTATTCAAAAATTAATGTGATTGAATTGAACTCTCAATTCACTTTTTGGCTCTTTCAGATCTGAACTGTTGTTGGCTCCTATTGTTGTTAAAATCAAACTCAAATTATTGTTCTTTTGGGAGGTTTGTATCTGATTAGGAGACGAAATTCTTTCTGTCCTTCTAGACTTTCATGCATGGTTTTTCACCGATATTCATATTATTTAAAATAAATTTATTTATTTTTTAATATTATGTTCTTGGGGGTCCTACTTATGCCACGTTTATTTTAGGACTGATTAAGAAATCCGTGAAATTTATAATCCGATCTAATTTAGTCTAATCTAGTAGGTTTGGACTAGTTTTTTGAATCTGTGGTTTGGTTTCCGATTGAAAAATTAAAAATTCGTAATTCACGAATTGATTCCAGATTGAATCCCACGGTTCTGGATTGGAACCGATCCGGACCGTATACAAATATTTTATATTTTTATTATACACCTTCATACATGGCATCTTCTCTTATTTCATATAAAATTTAAATCCAAACCTAAACTTGCGTAGTATCTTATTTTATTACTTTTGTTTGCTAGTTTTTAGTGTTAATTTATAATGATCTAAATACTAATGATGGAACTAGTTTTTTTATAGTTGTTTAAATTAGGGGTGAGCAGCGGATATACCGATCCGCCAAAACCGACCAAATCGAACCGATCTGCCTCATTTTGGACAGATGCGTGATGACAAGCGAACGGTTGCGGATTGATTTTCTCAAATCCGCCAATTTGGCGGACGGATGGCGGATTTGAGGTTCCTTTGGCCGCAACCGAACCGTCAAACCGCGAGCACCTTTAGTAATTTATAAGACTTTGTGTTTTCAATTTGTTTAAATATTTTGTTTGTGTTTTCAATTGAAAAAGAGTTCAAATATTCTGTTGAAACAAAGTTTTCAACTTGAATATATTTTTTGGTTTTTAAATCTAACTCTAAAAGTAATAAATAGAAAATATGATATATGCTGGTTGGTTTTTGTTTTCAAAAACATTTATAAATGTAACAATACAGAGACATACAATCTTTACTATTGTTCTGTTCATGTTTTGGTAGTTTGAATTGTTTTTATATTTTAAGAACCACAGATTGTAATACTTTATATGGATGAGACATGCAGTGATTATGATAATCTAAAGTTTCAAACTTTTTTTCTTTGGATGAGGCATGCAGTAATTGTAATACTTTTTTAAGTCAATGACTGTAATATTTTATTTTATTTTATTTTTTTTTGAGGAAGTGTACAAGTTGAACTATGTTGAAAATTTATAAAATTTCAAATCGCCAAACCGATTCGTATCCATCCGTCAAACCGCCAATCCGCATCCGCTGGATTGGCGGACGGATGCGGATTAATTTTCTCCAATCCGCCAATCTGGCGGACGGATGGCGGATTGGAGGTTCCGTGGCCGCAACCGACCCGCGCCCACCCCTAGTTTAAATTTTAGAATAGTTTATCGCTATTATAAAAAGACATATTACTATTGTGAAACTAATATGGTGCTATATTTATATTTTTATGAAATTAAAGTGTTATATATATTTTTTTGTTATTTAATTATGTAAATTCGTGATCCTAAACCGATCTAATTCGCCTTTAAATGGATTAGTTCGAATTGGTTCTACGATTTAAATGGATTGAATTGATTTCAATTTTTCAAGATCCGTAGATAACGAATTAGTTCTGATTTTACTCAAATCCGAACGATGCTCACTCCTTATTTATTTGGGTGGTGGTCTCATTTTGCGGGAATTATCATATGTGTTTGGAAGATTCTCTCATATGCGCATCTAATAATATATTATTAATTTTTTATTATATTTTTATTTTTAGACTCATGTAATTCTAGTCTATATTATTGATTGAGCATGTCGCTTGTATCAAATAAGGGCATCTCTATCAAAAAAAAATTAAAATTTTGATTAAATTTTAACTAAAAATATATTTTTCTATTTCAGTTAATTATTTTTTCAAATGCATTCTGTAATAAATTCTCTGGTTTTTACTATATTCTATTTTTATTTTATTTTTTCCAATTTCAAATTTAATATTCAAGAGAGAATTAAAATAGTGAATGATCACATTTGTTTAGAGTAATGATATATAAATAAAATATTAGATAAATTACATTTAAATCTCTTAAAATTTGAAGCAAATACAATAAATTTCATAAATTTGCATATTATATTAAACTCCTTTAAGGTTTTGATTTACGTAACACTTAACCTATTTTTCTTCATAATTTGTTAGTCTCATGAATAAGAAAGTAATTTTTGTCATTTTTTACATTAAAATATATATTTTATTTTATTTTTCTTTTAGTCTTGTCACTACCTACATTCGTTCTAATTCCTTTAAGCTTACAAATAAAGATGTTGATTTAATTATTTTAAAATATATGGTTTGTTGTATCCAAATTTTAGGAAAGTCAATGTAATTTGCCCATAAAACAATTATATTAAATTTACATACAAAATGATGTGATACTTTACGCTCCGCTTATCTCAATTTAAAATACATATTATTCTAACTTATATTTTTAAAAATAACATAATTATATCATTTTGATTAGTTTTTTATACAATCTTGTTTATAATTTTTTTTTCTTAATTTATCAAATTATGTTTTTTAGCTCATGTATTACAATTGCACTAGTTTAGTTATTTATTAAATGATAAATAAAATATAATAAATATATTAAATATTTTATTATCTAAAATAATTTGTGAGCTTCTCTCTCTAATTACGTGTAACTAGTGGTATGATATTCAACTAAAGGAGCTAGTCAATAATTAAGTTTGATGGAGTGTATTTCTATAATTTTGTAATATAAAATAACCAAGAGAAAACTCTAATGAGTTTGATAATGACACTCTAAGAGAGTAACTTCTACCATGAAAATAAAACTAGATCCATCTACATAATGGTGTACATAATAGATTTTTATTAGATGATAATACCATGTGTCATTAAAAATATAATAGTCATGTTTGGTTTGTATTTGTGAAACAATTTTGGAAAATAATTTTATGAAAATAGTTTATAAAATTTAAAAATTTGTTTGGTTATATGTGATGAAAATAGTTTCGGAATTTAGGATGATTTAAATTATTTTTTTTTATAGTAGTTGAATAAATGGCTGTGAAAGAAAAAATAATTGATTGATGTATAAAATATAAGAGAAAGAGAGAGGAAAAAGAAAAAATAATTAATCGATATGTAGTAAAGAAAAAAGTGATTTTATATTTTTATTTTTCAAAAATTTCCAACTAAATAAATTGTTTAAATTTTTTTCAAAAATTCTCCCAAGAGATAAACCTAACAAGGCCAATATTACCATTGCATGAACTTTTTCTCCCCAATAACTACCGGACGACGTCACCCCGCAATCACTAATTACAATACAACCTTACTGTTTACTCCATCACTAACATAAAATAGGTAACACTCACTATTTTTACCAATTATAATAAATTTATGGGATTGAGGGTTACTGTTGCACCTTATGGCACAGTAGTCGTATTGTGAGGGCCTGTAAAGATATTTATCGAGTGTATTTTGATAATCTGAACCGTTGATATTGTAAAGTTTGTCGAGTATATGATCCATACAAAAAATTAAATTAATTGGACATTTGTAACCTTATGATTAAGTCCTAATTGTTTTTAAAAACTTACTATTTTTACGAATTATAATAAATTTATGGGATTGAGGGTTACTGTTGCACTTTATGGCACAATAGTCATATTGTGAGGGCCTATAAAGATATTTATTGAGTGTATTTTGATAATCTGAACCGTTTGATATTGTAAAGTTTGTCGAGTATATGATCTATTCAAAAAATTAAATTAATTGGACATTTGTAACCTTATGATTAAGTCCTAATTGTTTTTAAAAATTATTAAAATTATGATAATTGTTTATTTTTTGAAAAACCAATGTGCTCTTACTATAAGGTTACAAATGTCCAAATTACTTGATTTTTTGTATGCATGATTTATTCGACGAATTTTATAATATGAACAATTCAAATTATCAAAAAAGACTCGGACCATGCCCTTAATGAGCCTCACAACAGCTTGCTGTACCTTATGGCACAGCAGGAACCCAATTCCAAATCGGTGGTGTTATATACACTAATTAGTGTACTAGCTAGTATTATGACATTATTACTGACTACATTTATTATATACATTACAAATATCCAAAACCTCTAAAATGATGCCACATGTACACTAATTGGTACATATAGTATTATTCATTCCAAATTTATGGCACCATGTTGCTGTCCCTGGATAGTAAGGGTTGGTTTGGCATGATATACAAAAGTCAAAAAGTCACTAAAAAAATAAAAAAGTTTATACTATTCACATATTTTTTGGCAGAAAATCTGTCCCCAAAAAAAAAAAAAAAAATTCCAAACAGGTCAAACTGTGTAGCCATTGCCGCAACAGTCACAATTTCTCATAAAAGTGCAAAACATGACACAATGTAAGCCACACTTACATTAAAATAAAATAAAAAAATGAAAGGAGAGAGAAAGTCAGCGCAGCTACACTAGTCTAGGACATAGGGGTAATTTTGTAATTTTGCTACTTTATACAATATTTTAATATACATTTTTTCGTAAAAAAATAAAAAATTATCCCAAACAACCATATTTTTTTCCTCTATTTTTTAGTCCAAAAAATTAAAAAATACACTTATTTAAAACACTCCAAATAACCCTTAAATAACTTCTCCCAAAGGAGAGTATTTATTCAGTCTTACCACAATAAAAAAAGGCTTAGGATTTTTTCTTTTTTTAAATATAAAAAATTACCAAAACTTGCAAAATCAAGTGGTGGTTTATATTGAGTTCAGATCCTTTCCTTGCAAACCATGCTTGCAAGCCTCCTTGCAACGGCTGAGATCAACCGTTGCATATCCAACGGTTGAGATTAAAAAAAAAAATAAAATATTTTGAAATTTCATTTATTCCTACCCGTTGCTAGTTATACATTGAAGCACAATCATTCAGCCAAGCTATATTTCACTCAGCCTCGCACTTATCCGTCCTCCTCCACCGAACCCACCCTTACCGGCGACTAGTCCCCTAGACGGCACTGGCGACGACCAGTCCCCCAGATGGCACCGGCGACCC